CTACCCTTTAGGCACCCCCCTTCTTCCAGCCCTCCCCCAGTGCCGGCACAGGCCAATACTCCACCCTTACCCAGGGATTCCTTAAGTCTGCTGCCTTATCCTACATCTTCCTGCATCCCAGCAGCTCCAGTTCAGGTCTTTTCTCAGCTTGTCACCAGCAGTGACCAGACCTGGACAGTCCCTGCCGTGAGTCTCTTGAAATCAAAGCCCACAGCTCTTTAGGGTTATGGTTACAGCCACAGGGAAAACCACAGGTAAAAGCCAAGGCCCCAGCACCCAATACAAAGGCCATTGTCCCTCCTGTGTAGCCAAATCGAAACATCCAACTGCAACTCCAAAGCTGGGCCTGGCTCTGAAGATGGCAGAGGTCCAGGCTGGGGCAGAATACAGAGGGACAGCCTTGGAGCAAGGAAACACACGCTGTGGCCACAGGCATTGGTACTCAGTTCCTACAACACCGACACTTGGGCTCCACTTCCCAGCTTTGTTGGGTGTACACATACACATGTGCATGAGTGCACACACATGTACCTTAGGGCCTGTTTGTAAATACCACCTGAGGACACAGTCAAACTATCAGGTACTTTGGGCCCCAGGAAACCGGGGAGGGAAGAAAGGAAAAGTAGCCAAGTGACCAAAGTGGAACAGGGTCGGGGAAGGGCCTGGCACCTAGGTTGAGTAACCAGGGGAGGCTGGCTCAGGACTGAGGCTTGGCCGCATCTTCTGCCATCAGCTGGAAGGATCTCAGTTTCAAATTTTACAAGTGGGGAAGGGGATTTCAGTGATCTCCTCCAAGGCCCCAGTCCTTGGGCTCCTCACTGGCAAAACCCGTCAGCACTACAGCCTCCTGGTGCCACCTGAGACTGGCAGCGTGTGGGCACGGCAGGAGAGTTGTCAGTCTGCAGACAGGGCAGTCTGTGTGGCCCAGGTGAACAGCGTGGCCACCCCCCCCAACCACCCCTGGATTGGCTGTTGTTGCCTGTCTTCCCCGAGGCCCAGCAGTCCTTCTATTTCCAGACTCCTGAAGAAGCTGTCCCCAGGTCGGGGCCTCTTGCGGGCACTGCCAGCCTCAGAGTAGCACCACAGCTTCCAGCCTTGACAGGGACTCTTTCTTATACGTGGTCATGTGCCAGGGGTACAGGATGTCAAAGGAGGCCCACACCCGGACACGCGGGGACCGGGCCGGGGGCAGGGACGAGGGTGGCTCGGGCAGCAACCGCCTCTACCTCCTCTCAAGAGCTCGGAAGCCATCTGTTCCCTTCCTCCATCCCCAATGCAAGGCACTGGACCAAGTCATTCCACTTCTTTACCTCTCCAACTACAACAAAGCGCACATTGCCCCACTTCCTTTTTCCTCTCATCGGAGCGCGCACACCCCCCCCCAGTCATGCACGTGCACGCTCATACACCCCAGTGAATGCACATCTCACATTCCCAAACTCACACCCGGCCGGCTCCTTTTACGGCAGGTCCCAGCCGCTCACATCTCAAACCGGTTCTCATGCTCTCAAATTGCAGAAGGTTACACCAAACAATCTGATCTGAGGGCTGCTGATGTCTTTCTTCTTCCTCTACCTGCAGTGTGTCTGGGCTCAGTGTCCCTCTCATTCCACCCTGCAGAGACTCAAGGTGATGAGCGGCAGGGGTGGAGGACTGCAGGACGGGGAATCTTCTATGCCTGCCTCCTCCCACCCCCAAGACAGGTCACTGAGAAAAGAGAGGTCAAAGGGATTCCTGAGGAATTTCTAAGCAGTCCACCCCCTTCTGGAAAAAACGGGCTTTGGGGAACTGGTTAAAGATCGCTCCAAGGGTAGGGTCAGCAGTGCCTCCTGCTCTCTCCCTTCCTCTCTCGCCAGTATGGCCTGGAGGGGACACAGGCAGTCGCCAGCTGCCTGCAGAGCCACCTCATCCGATGACACGGTAATGGTTTTCATTTCATATTTTGGAGGGAGGGGCTAGGAGGAACAGTCCCCTCACTGTATAAGCTGGCCACAGGAGCCGAGGGAAGCAGGAGGAGAGGAAACAGCCACATTAAAGAGGAAGAGAGGGGTGGGGGAAAGAAAGAGAGACACGTACACCCAGACAGAGACCTGGAGAGACGCTCGGAGACAGAGAGACACTGTTCCCTGCCAGATGAACCCTCTCAGTCCCAGGGATGGCGTCATTTGGAAACTCTAAATTCCTGACTTTATCAAAACTCTAGAGCGAAAACTACCAGGTAAACCAAAGGACCAGGCCGACTCTCCCAGGAGCCCACCCCGGGACAAGTTTCCCTGGAGGCCTGAGACCTCTGCATGCAGCTGTAACCTGAGCCCCGTGCAAGGATTAGGTCTTTCTAACCACTGCCCCCCCCAAGAAGCAAACCAAATTAATGCTTTTAAGTTAACAATTATCTCGGTTATCCAGTCCGTCTACCTTAAGATACACAGACAGGCACTTGAAAAACACTCAGAACCGTGCACTCTCCTGCTGCCTCCCTCCCAGCCCACTGCTGACCCACCCCTCAGTTCTCACAGGCAAAACAACAGCAATGGCTCTTAAGTCGCAGTCCCACAGCCGCCGGCTCTGGCCCAGGTGGGTGATTGTGGTGAGTCTCACACTCACACTCACACTCACACACACACGCGCCACTTTACACTTGGGGCTCTTCTTACCCCATCCCCTTCCCCATTCCACAGGACTCTGGCTTCTTGCTGTGGATCTCTGATGAAAAGGACAGAGACGCAGACATCCCCAGAGGTACAGTAGCTCCATGGAAGATGACTGCCCAGAGTGTCTGTATTCTAAAGACCCGCTCAAGCTTCGTCTATAAGCATGTGGCACTAAGGACAAACTTCCTGGCACTGCTAAGACTGGGGTAGGGGAATATGTTTAGGGGTGAGGGAGGCCTCCCAAGCCCAAGGACCCTGCCTATGTGTAGGACCCTAAGACTGCCCTGACCAAACAGTACTTGTATTTCCTGCAGCAAATCTGCAAATCTGCAAATCTGGGTCCAGAGACAACTTTCTAATTCACAAACCTGTCATTGGGCAACTCCTGGGCAGGGTTTATAGATTTCTTGAATAGCAGGGTCAATGAGAGGCTTCCATTTGGTGCCAAGCTAGACTCAGAAACAGGAAGGAAGAAAGGAAGGAAGGAAGGAAGGAAGGAGAGGGAGGGAGGGAGGGAGGGAGGGAAAGATGCCAAGTTAATTGCAGCCCAGTCGGAGCAGGTGTGGCCCAGGAGTGAACAAAACTATTAGTCTGTTAAGTTCCTCAGGGTAGGGGTCTCCCTTCCAGCTGCATTTCCCCCAGGACCCAAAGGGGTATCCCATGAAAGAGGGCACCCTGGGGTACCCCAGAGGGATTCTGAGTCCCTGGAAGACGGGGCGATCTCCCAGACTTGAGAACCTTGGCTCGGTCGCACCTGTCCCTTTTAGGGATCTCCATCTGCTTCTGCTTTGGCCCCAGCACCCTCCCCCAGTCTCCCTAGGCCACTTCAGACACTGGCTCCAACTTGAAAGAGGCCCTTATCTAGTCTTTAGATTACTTCATGAAATCTGTTCCTTCAGACTAAACTCCCCAGCTAATTCCATGTTATGAGTAAGTCAGCATGCACTACAAAAGCCAGCTTTGTTTATGAAAACACAAGCAAATCCATAGTGAGGAGAGGGGCTGCTCCAGGCTGGGGGTGGGGGTAGCTGGGGACTGGGAGGAAGAGGAACCTTCGGGGTGGGGTGGGGGTGGCGTCTGGTGTTTGACAGCTGAGGGTCTCTAGTGTTTGACTGCGTTAGACAGGCTGGAGGGGAAGGGGGGTCATTGAAGAGGTTGTGTTTTGGGGGAGGAGCATGGCGTGCATGGAGTTCCATCCTGCTCCGAGTGGACCCCATCTAGTAACCGAGCAGCTTACGGGCCAAGCGCTCAAGGCCCCGGGACATAGCGACCCTACTGCCAGACACAGCCTTTCCCAACTCCCAAGTTCAACTTTCCCTTTGGCCCTACCACCTCCTCCCCCTGGCTGGCTTCAGGAACCCCCGGGACAACAGGCAGAATCATAACGTCCCAACCAAAACCTTGCCTGGAGGAACTCTCTTTTTGTCCATATAAATCTCTTTAGTTAGGACACCACTGGGGGAGGCGTGCTGCAGGAGGTCAAGGGGGAGGGGAGTCTGTCCCCAGAGAACTGAGGGACCCCAGCCTGGTCTCTGCTAGCACAGCCCCGGGACGGGCCAGGAGATGAGCTTGGGGTCAGGGACTGGGGCGGGAGGGCCTCCCAGTCTCTTCTCTTTAATTCCTAGAGGGCTCGGTCAGAGCTCTCCAGCCTGGAATTTTACTTTGTTATTTTAATGCAATTCTGACCTGGATTTAAATGGAATTGGAAACCCAAGGACTTAATAAATAAATATTATGATAAGAAATGAAAGCCATGCAAGACGAAAGAGACTTCCCCCCTCAAAGGCAGACACGCAACATTCTTGCCAGAAGCCAGTCACAGAAATTTTCTTCGCTTCTTCAGCCCCCTACCATCGGGTGAGAGGCGAGTTGGGTTTTCCATAGTCTATTTTTCTGTAACACGTTTCCACTGATAAGACAGCAACTCGGAAATTCTCTCTCTGAACTTTGCATGCAGGGTGGGGATCTACAGCACGGCTGAAAAGTTTTCATTCCCGCAGTCTCTCCAGGCCACAACTTTAAGTGTCTGGCAGCGTCTGAGAGAAGAGAGGATTCTCTCCGACTTTAGAGCACAAAAAGTCTTTCGAAGATCCGAGGGGTGGCGGCGAAGTCTGGCGGGGCTCTGAAGTGCACGGTCACTTCTGCCCACCACCACGGCTTCCCGCTCACCCCTCCGCCGCGGGCTCCTCCAGCTCTGCGCCCGGCGCGGCGCCCGAGGTCAGGGCCCGGCCGGGGTGGGGGGGGGGGGGAGACCCCTGAGCGAGCGAGCAGGGTCCTGACAGCGCCCGGCTTCCCGGCACCTGCCCTGCCCTGGGCCGGGGCCGGCCGCCCCGCAGCCTCCCGCCTTACCTTGCGCAGCTCTGCTGTGCTGGGCGGCGCGGGCGTGGACCAGTAGGACGAGGAGGCAGAGCCCGGGCACGCGCCCCGAGCCCATGGCTGGAGCTCCGCGCGCGGCGGCTCCGCCGGTGCCGCCTCGAAGCCCGGGAGCGCGGAAGCCGGCGGGCCCGGTGCGCGGAGGGGGAGGGGCGGGGAGCCGGCGGGGCCGGGCCGGGGCTGCGGGCGCTGCTGCCGGCCGCTCGCAGCCGGATGCCGGGGAGAGCGTGGCGCGGAGCGCAGCGAGGCCAGGGGCGCCCGGCGCGGCGGACGGCGGGGAGCCCGGAGTCCCAGCCGCTCCCGGAGGAGCCGCGGCCAGAAAGCGCGCTGAGCCGGAGCGAGGGACCTGAGAAAGGGGAGGGGAGTCGCGGCGCAGAAACACGCCCTTCTGCCTTTCTTCCTCTCCTCGCCCTCGCTCCGTCCCTCGGGCTCCGTCTTTTCCTTCGCCTTTCTCCTCCTCCTCTTTCTCCTCCTCTCCTCGCTCCTTTTCGTTTTCTTCCTCCTCCCCCGCCGCCTCCTCCTCCGCCACCTCCTTTTTCGTGCCCCTTTTTTTTTCTTCTTTCCAATGGGGCCTCGGCGTGGCGGCCGCTCCCTCTGCACGCCCGGGCGCGGCGGCCCCCTCCCCAGGCTGCCGGGCCCGCTGCCTGCAGGAATTTACAATCCGGCGCTGGGGGAGCGGGCCCGGTCTCCATGGAGACGGCTTCCCCGGGAGCAGGGAGGTCAGGCGCAGACCGCGCACAATCAATGGATCAATGCAAGCCCCGCTCGGCTCCAGACCAGACAGCACCGGGCTCCGGCTCGGCTCGTCCTCCCTGCCCGCCGGCCGCCCCGGGAGCAGGGGAGCGAGGGCGCAGGTTTACACGCACACCTCCTCTGGGAGACAAAGAGGGCGCGAGGTGTCGGGGAGGCTGGGGCGAGGTGGACGCACGGGCGCTCGGGCGTGCCCACCACACAGCCCGACACGCGGGACACAGCCACATATGGGCCGAGTCACGTCTTCTCAACTCTTTCTCAACTCCATCTCACCCCATCCTCTGGACTTGATCCGATCCCATCCCTAGCCTCTCTTGCTAAATCTGAGAGCTCCCGGGCAGTTAGGGCCTTGGAGGTGAGTCCACTGAGCCACCCTACCCAGAGAGCCGTGGGCGCACGTGTACACACGCTCCTGAAAAACGAACCCTCAGAACCACGCGGGTGTGTAAGCTTGAAGACACAAAGAAGCCACAAGCACACTCCTCCCAGCCTGCACCCTCAAGAGGTGGGCCTGACCCTTACTTCATCCCCCCAACTACAAGGGATCCCAGGATACGTTCAAACTAGGGGCAAACTTTGTTGGGGGAGAGTGTCCCCCCAGCCAAGGACACTGCCTCCTGGCCCCTCCACGAGTTCTACGCCCTCTTGCCTTGGATTGTGGGGGAAAGAAGAAAGATCACGTGAGAGGCTGACGGCTTTCTTGGGGTGCGGGGCTGTGATCAGACTGACCACACCGGGTGCCGGCAGATACACTTAGTCTTCTGTAGGGCAGAGGCAGAACTCAGATTAGCCTCCCAGGTACCCAGGACCAGAGCCCAATCAATGGCCAAGATCTCCCTAAAGATGACATCAGCAGTTGGCATCAGCTGGGGTCAAGGGTGGCTTTGTCAGCAGCCTCCATACCACCTAGGGGAAAGAGCTGAGCACTTCTTTTTCCAGAGATGGAGTGGGAAAGTAGGAGGCTGGAAACAGACTCCAGCGTCGGATTTCCAGTTCTGGCTCTATGGTGGGATGAAGGTTACCCCTGGGTAGTCCCCTCTGAATGGGCCTCAGTTTCCTCATCTGGAGAACAAGAGGGAGGGTTCACCTGGGGGTGGAAAGGGACAGGAGGCAGCAGGGAGGAGGTCTTGAGAGCCCTCAGGAGGTGTGAGAGGTGACCATGAGGATGCGACCACATAGGTCATGGGAATGGTGTGGAGGCGGCAGAAAGAGTGGCCCAGACAATCCCTGAGGTCTCTTCCAGCTCCTTCCAGCCCTGTCACTCTAAGACTCCCTCCCTCTCATTCCATTGGCAAACCCCTCCCCTTGCAGCAGCTTTACCTGCTGCCACCAATTATGTGCAGGGCTGGAGGACAAGTGCAAACTTGCCACCCTTTTAGCCCCAAACAAGAGACTGGTTTGAAAAAAAAAAAAGAACGAAAGAATTGGAAGTTGCCGGAGAGTGTCTGTGATCTACACGGGGGTGCTGAGGAAGCCCACCAGAGACTCAGTCTGGTTCCCGCCCACCCTCCAACCCTGCAGAGGATTCTGTAGGGGTAGAAGCAGGGATGATATCACCAAAGGACTGCATCTTGGGGCACTGCCCACATTGTCCTCCGCCTTGTCCACTTCTGCAGGGACTCACACTTGGACAGAAAATCAGGAAGAAGCAGCGGCCTATGACATATCATAACTAGCAGGGTCAAAGTGTCCTGGAGCTGTGGGCTTCCCACATTCACCTCTCAGGCTGAAATTTGCTTTTAGGCTTTGCTTCCTTCAAGGATGCTTGCGCTATTCACTTTTTTCAAATTGCTCCTGAAAATCTGGGGAGAGGACCAATCTGAGGCATAGTGGATGTACCTTGGTTCAGATCCTTTTAGGGCTACCTCTGCCAAGGATCCCACCACACTCAGGGACTCCCCCTAGTCTGCCAAGTTTCCTTCCTTAAGCCTTTGCTTTCTCTGCTCCTCAGCTTCTCCATATGTAAAAGGAGTCCAACGGCCCTGCCTTGACAGGCAACGTAGTCTACTGGGACGTAGGTACAAGTCAAAACAGATGGCCCCAAGGTCAATGTCAGGCCCCATCATCTCCCAGCCATCTGTCTCTTCCCAAAGAGTTATTTCACTTCTCTGAGTCTGAGCTTTCTCATATGGAAAATGGTTATGGCCGTAAGACTTAAAAGTGTATATCAGTGTCTCACTGTATGGGCTCTCGAGCTAAACAAATGTGCGGGTCAAATCTCAGCTCGGTTACTCTACCTGTGTGACTTCCGGCAAGTTTCTCAGTCTTAGTGAACTTCATCTTTTCACCTGCAAGAGGGATAAAGACCTCACAGGGTTATGGCATTAAATGAGATAATGTAAGGAAAACTCCTGGTACAGAGTCGGCATGCAATCAGTGGAGGTGGCTGTTCGTATTTCCACGACTTCTCAGAAGGAGCAAAGGCCACAGTGTTTGATGGTCAAGGTATAGTAGTGCCTGGGAAGAAGTTGCCTTGGCCCAGGCCACACTTTGATGCTGTTGGGCGGCAGGGCGGCCAGCTTAGGGACTCTCATCACTCCTGACAGGTTCCAGTCTGTCACACATCCCTACCAAGAAGGTTCCCAAAATTCCGTTCATTCCAGCACACAGCCTCTGTCAGCAGTGCTTCCACAATATGGAGCGTAAGAAGGCAGTTCCCCTGCCGGGTGGGAAGCTCCGGAATCTCCTCTGCTTCGCACACCTCTTACTCTGCCTTAAGAAGACACAGGTATTCTGAGACACAACTGGAGCCTACAGCTGCCATTTCCTGGGGGCTTTCACCGGGCCGGGCACTGAACCAGGCCCTCCAGCAGGAATCCCCGTTTTACTGATGGGAAAACTCAGGCTCAAATAGATTAACTTGCCTAGGATGACAGAGTACAAAGGCTGAAGCCAAAACACGGGTGCAGGCCTGACTCTAAGCTTGTGTATCTCCTTTTCTGTCTTTCCTGCCTCCTCTGAATCCACAGAGAAACCAGCACACTCTTGCCGTTCTTACAGCCCATCGTTTGGGGCAGGATGAGAGTCACCTCCTTGCTCTGGAGGGCACACAGCAGCCCATCTGCAAAAGACATCAGCCGTCACCTGTGTCCCCATGAGTAGTCATGTGACTTGCCCAAGGTCACACAACATATTGAAAAGGGGAAAGTAGAAGCAGAATCCAGTTCTCCCTGACTTCTGAGTCCCTGATCAGCACCCCTTAGAGCTCAGACCCAGTAGGACGTCTTTCAGTTCTCGCTCCCTCTTTGTCTTCCTGGGGCGTCGCCCAGTCACCAATCCTGCCATTGAGTGGCAGATGGTACTAGTCTACCTCACTCTGTCCTATGTTCTCCAGAGGGTATGAAAGCAGGAGCAAATGTGCTTCCCCACTGGGGGCGACCCCGCACCCAGGTATGGTTCAGAACCTCCAAATCGCAACAAAACCCCCCATACGCCCCGAGTCCGGCAGGCAGGCAAGGTTTGCATGTGCCAACATCTGAATGCAGAATCATCGAAGGGCCAGACAGAAAATGCCATCAAAAGTGAGAGGACACAGAAATGGTCATTCACTGGCTTCATGGATGAGGGGAAATCTGAGCTGAATCTGGGTGACTTTTAGAATAAATGAGCAAGATAAAAACAAACAAAAAACAGTGACTGGAAGATGAAGAGAGAAAGAGAAGAGTCAGCACAACCACAGGAAGAAGGAAAGGAAGAAGGCGGGGTCTTTACTAGGCTGGGGACAGGTGACCCTGGCCCGTCCTTGTCTGTCACGCCTCAGGCACGGCTCACGGTCATGGCCAGAAAGGCGGAGGATGGAAGCAGGGCCCTCCCAAAGTCTGCTCCAGCCCTGGGATTCTCCGAGTACCTTGCTCCTGGGCCCTGACTCTTGCTTTTGCAGAGCGGTCCCTGGGCAGCCCTGCCAGGACATGGGGCCAAGGTAACCCGGTCCCAGCTGCCCACACTTGTGCCAGCCTCTCCTCTGGGTGCCCCCCCAGGCCCCTTACCCCAGTGTCCTCCCACACTCTCCTCCCTGCCCACCTCCATACCCGAGTCACTTCCACACTTGCTTCCTGGCTGCTTCCATAAGGGACTCGATTTCCCACTTGCCAATCAGCACCAGTACCTCCCTCTCCTGCCCCATGCGCTCTCCCCACGCCCCTCCCACACCCCTGCCCAAGGCCGCTGGCAGTTCCCACATCCTCATAACCAGACTGCCTGCCTGTCTTTATCTTGCTTGACCTCTCTCCATTCTCCAAAACCTCTGAACATTTTTCTTCCCCTTCTTGGAACCCTTTCTTTTCCCAAATCTCCAGCCAGCTCTCTGCCCATTGGCCTTTTAAATGCATCAGGACTGGGGACCTCTAGCTTGGA